GCCGTACACGGCACCTAGTATGAATGCGGCCAGTGCGATTCTGAATGTATTAGCGCGAAGACTTTTCTTCATCCTCCAAGTCCTTGTCATGGTCCTCTCCTAAAAAGGTTGCTCGCTCCCAATCGCGTCGCCTATAACGAAGAATGCCATCTTATGCGGCTACCAGTATTTGATTCTCTATTATGAATTCATAACCTTGAGCTGTATCATTTTCAAACGGTGTTGATTCGTATTTCAATCAAAGGCACGATAAGAGTGTTTTCCAAAATTTGTTCCCGGGATGAACGTGGACGTGTAACCACCACGTATAGCACAGGAGGCGCTGTCGGACCAATAAACTGCCGAGGGGGGCAATAAAGGCCCCGTAAGTGGTTTATTCAATGTACACACCCGATGTGGACGAGTTTTCACGGCGTTGTAGAGGCTGTAGAGCTGCGCTATTCGTTCCGGAAACCACACGTTCCAAGCAGGCTGATTATTGTGGTCAACAATGAGTAATGGCACACACATTTCGAGATCTTCCAATACCCCTTCCATGCAACGTTTGTCGGCACATTCTCATCCAACCAATAATTTTATTACTTTTTTGGAGCATTATATTCCTCTATATGCGTCGATTTTCTCGATTTCTCCGCCACTTTTGCATTGATCTAGACCATGTCATCCATTATTCGTCTAAACCTACACTCCCTATGTATGATTATCGTGAATTGTGCCATCAAAAAGTGTTCTTGCTGCGTGTGTTTCTCGGCAGTCCCGGTATGGGAAAATAAGTTACGGGAGATACGTAAAATTTCAGACCCACTCAACGAGACGAAACGTAGAGCTTACAAAATGGAGAGCACAGGGAATAGGATATTAGGCACAAGTCTACAACGTTGCGGATGTTCAGAGAAGGGTTCTTTTGCTCTTTTTTAGACCGATCTGATCATTTTGAAAATTTATCTGGAGAGTTGACGCACCTGATAGTGCACATCTTGTCCTTGTGACCAAACGGAATCATTCCGAAAGATTCATGATCTGGTTTTCACCGTCACTGTTCATTCTACAAATAGTGTCACGATTCACTGTGAGTGCATAGGAACTGCGTGATTTCCCAAAGTTTCATCGGAGTGGTAAATCTGGCGAGGGCTTTGATAAAAAGGGTTAATCGTTACTCTCGAAGTGACGGTTGTTTCAGTCGAAGATTGTGTTATCGCTTTTGTTGAAGGCAATCGGTCTATGTGAAACTACGCGAGCGCTAAAGGGCAAAGGGCAGAAATTTATCACGGGTTTTGCCTGCATGCTCCAGAAGGTAGTGTACGTCAACCTCCTTTTTTGTAAGTAGGGATCAGTTTTTGAAACGGCGTCATAATTTTATGCGTACAAGTGAGGCTATGCAGTTCTCGTAACCGAGCTGAAATATGCTCCTTGAAGTGAATTAAAGCTTTGATAGAAATTATACGGGCTAGGCTGAAATCACGCTGGAAATCCTTTGAGCAGGGGTTTTCTGGAGCAGATGGAGCAGTCGAAACAATAACAAGTAAACCTTTCTCTTCGAACATTTTCTTTCATTCGAAGTGATCGGTGAAAGTAGCCTTAAAATCATCATGTTTTCATGTTTCATTTTTTATCACTTCAGCAATAGCTGTGTACAGTAATGTAAGTTTCCCAGCTCCGGCGAAGTGTCTTATGGGACTCGCAACACTAATTCAGTGTACTCCTACGCCTTTCATATCTGCTACTCGGAATACGCTGCGCGGAAAAAATATTATCCCTCAACTCAAAGTTCGAGCGGAAATTCTGGATTGTCGCTGGATAACCATCCCCATAGCAGCTCTAGATGGTCCGTACCTTGCTTTCAACGGCTTCTTCGACCTACCCTCTTTATCTTTTATGCATTCAAAAACGTTGCGTGCCAAGGGTTCAATGCGTGGGATGCTCTGATGAAATACTAGCGAGACAGAACTTATAAGTTTATTTCAGCATGCTTCCGAAGACGTTGTCAAAATGCTGCTTGGCAACAAATGTGACATGACAGAGCGGAGAGTTGTAAGCCGGGAAAGAGGAGAAAAGATTGCCAAGGACCATATGATAAGGTGAGTTTCAAGAACTACTTGCTCAGTGGATATTCGGAATGAGTAGGATGGTTTGGCAATTCTACAGGGATTTCAAAAAGAATTTGATAAGAAAATGCAATTTCTCTTGTAATGATTCCGGCCTTACTGTTGGTAATGTGAAAGGGAAACAGGTTTTGAAATTGCGAGATGTGGCTAGAATTCTATAATTTGTGACGAAATCAATGTTCTTCGTTATGTTTTATGACTCATAAGCGATATTTTGACCGAATTCAGGTTTCTGGAAACGTCAGCGAAGGCTAATATTCATATAGACACAGCATTCTACGAGCTAGCTGAAGCGATTTTGGATAAGGTTGGTCGCTACTTTATCAACTTCTTCAGTTCATAGTAGAAGATCTTTCTCGTATATTCGATCGTGATAATTGATTTCGCATTTATCTAGTTGTCGCTCTACTTGAATCTTGAAAGTTCATTTTGTTGACTCAACACCAGGAATGATCTCGTAGTTTATCTTTCATCTGACACCCCCCTAGCTTTACTGCATTTTGAATGGTAATGATTAGTCTAGTGAGATATATGGGTTGAACTTTTCTTCCTGGTTCCATCGCCATCACATTAGATTTGGCTCCGGGGAATTGCATTTACCACAACCAGACTTTTCTTCGGATAAATAGCATTTGTCACTATGAATCGAGCTTGAAACTGTCCTGCAACACTGTTTAATTTTAAGAGTAGGCGTCTTCATAACCCATATATTATGTGATTACAGATGCCAGCACAAACCGAAGAGCCCAGAGTAACAATCAATCCACTAGATAGTGGTAAAGCGGGCAGTGGAGGTTGCTGCTAGGAGTATACATTTGCTTATTGATCGAAATCGATGTTTCTGCTATCGTTTCTACTTTTTTTATCCGGCTTATTGATTCTCGGGTACCGATAAGTCGGTGCGTCGCTTTGTCGGCGTTCTTTATGTTAGTGATCCGTTTGATATTGTTTTTGTCTTTGTTGCTCTGTTTTTTCTTTTAATTGTCGTCCCCCCACATTTGTCCATTTCTCATTCTCCAATTTTGTGTCTCTTTTAAAAGAAATTGTTGTACGCTTCTTGTTAAAATGACTCGACACTTTCGTAAGAGCTTTTGCCATTTTGAAAAGGAACTCACATGTGGTAGTGCTTTGTATAATTCTTATCATTTAATCCGTGACTTACTATCGCACCACACAGTGATTAACGTGGAAATCGCTAATAATCGATTAACTACGGGTTACCGAACAATTTTTGGACGAGGACGTGCCAATCTAACAGTTCTTTTCTCTTCGGTGGTGCAGTAGTTGTTACATTTAAGTTGTGATTTCCATTTTGTGGCTACATTTTTTTAAAAATCTTTCGCTTAGCGCATACATTCACAGATGTATCGCATGTCTTCGAACTAGGACAGATATC